GGAGCGCATACTTTTTCACTTTTACTTGAGTAAAGAGGTCAAGTTGAAAGTTCAACTTTTACCATAGTGTTTTTAAAAATGCAGTTTCTATACTTCTACTTAAGAAACAAATGTGTGTACTTTTGTGTATATGTTTAATAGCTGTATAACACACTGGTATAATGTGAAAATAATAGCTCTAATGGCCCAAAGTTTTTTTTTTTTTACATTTGAATAAAAGTTAAAACTGGTCTTCATGATTTTACAATTTTCATAGAAACAGGACATCGACTTGCTTTTGGAAAATGGCCCTCATTACTTGAAATGAGATATATGATACACCATGTACCACAGTGACAGGGAAGTCTAAGGTTAGAATTTTAACAAATGGCAGAAAAGATCTAACCCAAAGGTTATGGTTAGACATTAAAGCTTGCTCACAACTTTGGGACCAACTTTTAATGAAATGTTGCTTGAAAATATAATCAATACTGGCTATAACTATGTAACTACAACACTCTCTGTTTAACATATTGAAGATACTACTAAACAGCACAACCTTAAGGAAACATTGCTCTTGAAGACAAATGCTGTCTTTAGTCAATTTTCATATATGGTATGAAGCCTCTTTTAAAAAACAGTAAACGTTAAAATGTGTTAATATGAAAATATGTCATGATTGGCTGCTATCACAAGTACTGAAGTTCAAACAGAGGCAGGCCTAAATCTGTATCTCTGTGGAGGAACCTTAAGAAGAACATAACACAAACAAATTTATATAAATGATCAAGATTTAACTCTTTTATAACACGTAATTAGCTTTAGAATCTTCTGGATTAAATTTAATCAGGGCATATTTTTATTTGTATATTTTCTGCAATTAAAAATGCATCTAAGAAAAGATAAATCCACTGCAGTAATGATTCTACAATTTGTGTCTGCAGGTATAGGGCCTTGCAATAAAAAGTTACTGCTAAGATGATAAAAGTATTTATATTTTAAATAAATTCATACTTAATTTTGTAAATTACTTTTTAATGTTAAGTTTCAGGTTTTATTTATTTGTGGGGTTAAAGCTAAGAACAGATGAGAGAGCTGTGAATGTGGAACCAATAGCGGCCTGTGTTTGGTTTATACGGACTGTTATTGCTGTAACACAAAGTGCATCCTCATAAACAAAATATATCCATAACTTAGCTTTTAAGTAAAAAAAATAGCTATTTAGATGACAGCGGCTTTGAAGGTGAACTTAGTGGGTTAGCTGAGAGCTTTAGCTAAACCAATGAAGGACAGGCAGCCAGTGACAGTGAGGATAAACGGTCCCCACCTTGGCTTTTGATCCTCTGTCCTCCTGAGCAAAGCTCAGAAACAAACAGGCAGACCGAGCAATGAGAAGCTGGTCAGCGGAAAGCAGTACAAACACCCAGCTGTTAGGTTGATGTGTGGAAGCTCGTCTGTACAAAGGGAGGAAACATGAGCAGCTGCAGACTGCTGCTGTCTCAGCTAAAGCTTTGGACTTCAGGAGGAAACAAATGGAAACGGGGACTTAATAAAGGTGAGACACTGTCCTGTTGCCTTTATTGAAAGCTTTACCCTACCTTTATTGGATACATTACTGAATAATTTTAATTTATCTCCAAGTAGGGTTATGAGTGCTAAAATAAAAAAACAAAACAAAAACGAGATACATATATTTATTCAGATTTATCCAAACGTATAAGATATTTATTAAATGCACAATTAAAAAGTTACTGCGTAATTTAACCATCAGTACGTCAAAAGCTTATAACACCATATATATGTACATAATATATAAATAGTTTTCTACGGTCCATAAAGTTATTAAAGCTGTAAGAGCATCATGAGATAGACTCTAACATCTGATTGGTTGAGCTCGACAGCAGCGTAGCCACAGACCAATCACGTTGCAGGAAACAGTGTAAGCTCCGCCCACCGACTCTGATAGGTAAAGCTTATTGGAGGACAGAATGGCGAAGGGAGGATGAGGAGAGTTTCTGGTTCACGTTAAAAAACAAAATACAAGCATGCTTTATACATCTCATCAACATGTGAATATGTAGGTTATTAAAGTAAGAAAAATTTACTTTATATCTTTAAATTTGTTTGTGTTTATAATGTACAGAAATATTTATTCTGAAGGTCAAAAGGAAATGAGATTTTATTGTCTGTTTGCTTGATTTATTTTTGTATAATTTATTTAATGACCTAATTATGTACCAAGGTGTAAAATGTCTGGCCCTTGTTTCCTCCTTGCTTCATCTACTTGTCATTTTGTAGGCACCGGTTGGAGCGGGAAGGCATTTTTGTCTACTTCCAGTTGCCCGAAGGTGTGTATCGTTGGAAGCGGTCCAGCAGGTTTCTACACGGCACAGCATCTAATCAAGGTGTGTACTTCCGGTTCTGATAATACAAAGCAATCTGTAGCACAGGTAGATAAACTCTGCCTTCATCAACTGAATATTTGATGAAGGAAGCTCGCTGTCCACAAGCGAAATCCCTGATCTCAGTTACAATACTTGCATAAAAAAGGGTTGAAAAAAAATTAAAGAATTTTGTGCTGATATTAGCCCTTCATGGTCTGAATGCATACAACTGACTGGTTTACCTTGTTTCTCATTTGAACTGGTGACCTAATGACTTAGACACATTTCATTGCCGTATTATATACACAGAGTGTATACAAAATGAAATTTTGATGCGCACAGCTTTTCAACACTGAATGAACAGCTTAGTAGTGAAATTAACATTTCAATTTATAAAGTGCAGCAGTGATCAAAAATGTAAACAATGTAGGAGAGACATGGTGCAAAATGCATTGATGTGGAAGCTAGCAAACTTCTATGGAGCCTAACCAGTGACAGTGGAGTCTCTTTCTGTTTGCAGACCTGGAAAATGCTGTAAAACAATGAGTTGAATTCTATTTAAAGGGATTTGAAAATTTGCCTTGTAGTGCAAATAAGATATTGTGTGATGTAGAATCTCAATTTGTGACTTGATTAGAGTTTTCAACAGTTCAACAGTCTAATGGCAGCGGGGAAAAAGCAGATGCAGAATCTGCTGGACCTGCATCGAATGCTGTGAAGCCTCTTCCCAGAGGGCAGCAGGGAGAACAGTCCATGGTGGGGGTGTGAGGGGTCATTGATGATGTTACGGGCTCGGGACACACAGTGCTGGGATATAATGTCTTTTATGGAAGGGTAGAGGAGCCCCACCACTCTTCTCACCTTCTTCCAGTCTGAGGTGCTGCAGCCTCCACACCACACAGTGAGACAGCTGGTCAGAACGCTCTTTATGGTGCTTCTGTAGAAAGTGGTGAGGATGGGTGGGGGCAGGTGGGCTCTCCTCATCATCCGCACGAAGTACATGCGCTTCTGTGCCCTTTTGACCAGTGAGGTGGTGTTTACAGTCCAGGTGAGGGTGTCTGTGATGTGCACCCACAGGAATTTGGTGCTGAGCTGTTGATGAGTAGTGGAGCGTGGTTAGGCCGGATCTTCTTGAAATTGATGATGATCTCCTTCATCTTCTCCACATTCAGGATCAGGCTGTTATCTCTGCACCAACCCACCAGCTGCTCCCCCTCCTCTCTGTAGTCCAGGTCATTATCGTCTCTAATGACTGAAAGCTACAATTGGTCAGGATATTTACATCAGTAGTGAGAAATTAATTCAAGGTTTTTGACCTTCAAAACGCAAAAGGAATTATAACAACAAACATACAAACAAATAGTTTACTGTACTGTAAATTTGGCCTCCATCATTACCTCTAAATCTACCAATGTGTGACAGAGTGAAGTGGAAAGGCCAACATAGACGATTACAAGGTTTCCTTCATGTTAGACGACACACAAAAGACTCCCTGTTTTGGACAATTGCAGGATAGCTCACTGACTCGGGATTAACACAACTCCAAAGAATTGCAGTAATCCGAATGAGATGTGATTAAGGGATGGATTACTGTCAATGTAATGTAATGAAATCCCTCATGTTACTAAGGGTCAGGAGCCAGATAAAGCTAACCTTATTAACTGAGCTTAGCTCATCAAATCCATGTAAAGACACTATTTTTGCTTCTGTCCAATCAGTGTTTTTATATTTTAGTAGAAAATCAGAACAGTATTGTTGCTGTGGGCTGGAATAAGTAAATAATCTGGATGTCATCATCAAAAGATGTAATCAAGTTGTAAAATTCTAGAAATCAAACCAGGTGGAGGACTTAAATACTTTTACAGTAGGAGATGTTTGTATCTGGAAGAAATAAAAATAGTTAATAAAATAGTTTTAATTTAACTGAGGCTGAAACGATTAATCGTT